ACCCGTAGGAGCCGTGACCCCTATATACGAATATCCTGCTGGAGCATTCTGAAACCTGATCGTCTTCATCAACTGTAAGGCTAGTCAGATCAGAGGACGCAGCTTTAGAGATCATAGGAAGCCCTGAATTTGTCATCGGTCGGAATGCTCGGCCTTTGCTTACTATCTGAAAGTCCTTGTGATGCTTATCAGTGTAGGCACAACCCTAGTTGAGCCATTTTCGCGCTCGACGACTAAGGTCTTCGATCAGACTCTCGTCTGGTTTGTCAAGATGTCTAGGTGACGGTAGGACGGCCGTAAGATTTCGCCGGCCATAAGTCCAGATGGTCCTATCATTGCGACCAGCAAACTCGAACTTTTCACCAATTAGACCTGCGAACGAAATGAATGCCATAGTGGAGCCTGTTGTCGGACATGGGTTCTTGAATAGTACTTAGTCTCCTGCGTCAGTAGTCTAATGGAGGCGAACTGGTGAGGCGGGGAACAGCTTCTTATACACATTTGGAGTCCAGGGCCTACAAGCGAGGAGCAATTGTTTGCAGTCGATGTGTGTTGTGGTCTGATCGTCTTGTAAACAAGTAATAGCTTGCACTTTGTTTTGAGATGATAAGCTAACGTTCACAATCTTCGAGCTTGTCTTAATCTCAACACCCAATTTGAGGCATTGTTCTGTGAGCCATTTGCCGAGGCCGTATGGGTTGCTGTGCGACTGTTAGTACTGGCGTGTGAAAACAATCCCGGCTACTCACACAGTAGCAGTATAAGTTCTAAGGATATGATCATTAACATCTTAGACGGGCTTTTTCTGCACCCAGTCTGGGAACTTGTCAAGACCTTGACCACTTCTGGGCTCAATTCCGAAGGATGGCTGTGCTTTATATCCGGTAGCTTTGTTGAATGCTTCCTTTTCTGCCTTAGCTTCCTACAAGTCGAATGAATACTTGCCAAGAGGCAGGAGCGGTTGGGTTTTTTGCTCCGGAAATGCATAGTGAAAACAGCCTGTGCATGTTGAAGAACTGGCTAAGAATGGCTGGTCGAAAGCATCGATCACTATGATCCTTATCTTTGGCAAAGAATTGAACAAATCCTTGGCGAGATTGTATGCAGTGGATAGACCGATAGATCCTCCACCAACAATGACAACAGTATCGTTGTGCTGGAGTCTAGACATCGCGAGGCGCTTATAGCAGTGGTATCGTTCTGTTGGGCCTCCTCTTTCTGACTCGCGTTACCAGACGACTTTGTCAGAAGTTAGTTTTCCAAATTCTCAGTACGACTCGGGGGGGTTGCTCACTCAAATATAGAGGGAGATGCACGCAAAAATGGGTGTGCAGCGTCTCCTGCAGGCTTTCCCGCAGGCTGTCTGGTCTTCCGTTTATCGGACCCCTAAACATTTCCTTTTGCTTCCGTTGTCTCACCGCCGTTCGCCCTGTTTGACTTTAAGAATGGGCACAATAATCGCTAAGGATTTCAGTTGTTGGTTCAAGATATTATCTATGATTCGAGTTCTCAGCCTTGGTCTCACAAAATGTCATATAGGTATGCACTTCATTCAGGCACTAAACTCCTCGAAAGTCGCTTTCTCTGACTAGAAGGCCCCACTGTCTTCTCATCCTTCAACATTTCCAAGGCTTTGATGTTTTATGCGTCATTCGTCACAAGTCCATGCAGGTACGATATGCCATTTCATCATGATGATTGCGAGCATGCTGTTTGCACACTGTCAGCAATTTCTCATTTTCAATTGGCTGGTCAAAGAGCTTTCAGGTGCCATGGAGCAGGTCATTCGTCGCGTATCCAGTTTTTCGAGTTGTCCGCATCCTGCAGGATCAATGCGTGAGACCCTAGCCTAAGGTCTCTAAGGCCCGTATCGAAGTTCGGTTTAAACCAAAGAATAAGGAGCAAGGGTCCCAAGGGTCCCAAGTCTCGGACTATTATCTCATCCTCGGGTTCTCTAGATATATATTGCACGAAGGAACCTACTTATGATACTCCAGCCGCACAAAAGTTCGGTTTGTTTATGGATGAGTGAGGGCAATGAGACTTTAAGCTTATTCAACAACTTAAGACAACAATCATGATAGCAATTCTTCTGAAAGTGATTCTTATCTTGTTGGGAGCGAGAACTTTGTACTTCATTTACGAAGGTTTCTACTGGAGAAGGAGGTTTAGACAATGGAAGGCTCAGGGCGTGGTGAGTTTGCAGTACCCAGCAACCAACACGCTGAGATCTCAAGACCCCATCTAATATGGCTTTCTTGCCTCTTGTAACTCCAAATGGGCTTCACTGACTTCGTACTTCAGCCAATCTTGGAGCATTCGCTACTCTATGGTCATCTCTCGATTTTCAAAAAGCTTTGGGAGGGCAACCCCAAAGATTCGAGCAGTTTCCGAATGGTGCCTTTGCGCATTTTCAACAATTGGCAGAAATACTTTCCGGACGAAATTGTTTGCCCGCCATTCATGGTGCTGGATACCTGGCCACTCTCGCCCCCCTGTGTTTTCGTTTGGGACCCAGAGCAGATACACAAGTTCACCGTGGAGAAACAGGCGACCCGAGGCTCTAAATACTTCATGTCACCAGTTACACGCGGATTCGATCTTCTATCTGTGGACGTGCCAACCCACCGGGAGTGGCGTGCGAAATTCTCATCTGGCTTCAGTCAACGCAAACTTGTCGCCGAGATACCTGCCATTCTTGAGGAGGTTGAGATATTCTCTAGCAAGATCAAACATTCAGCTGGTGCTGATGGTGCGTTCGGTGATGTCTTTCAACTGGAGGAGCCCTCAACTAGTCTCACTCTTGATATCATTGGCAGAATTGCTTTGTGAGTGGCATGCCGCATGTGATGACTCTGTGTAGTTCATTCTGACTTAGGCATTTCAAGAGACGTCCGACTTGGTGAACAACTACGTGAAGGAAGCATTTTTAGGGATGCCATGCTGAAACAAATCAAAGAGATGAGTGCGCCTTCCTTACGAGCATACGCTCGACATCTGAATCCAATCTGGCAATACAAGACGTGGCAGAACCAGAGAGCAATGGACAGTGTCATTCTCCCCAAAATAGAGACACGGACGTCCAAGGGGACCGGTGGAAAGACTTTGGTAGACCTGGTGCTCGACAATTCTTTAGGGGACAGGAAGGTTAACCCGCCGGCACGAAACTCTGATCTTGTGAAAGGGCTTATCTCGAACATCAAAGCATTCGCATTCGCCGGTCATGATACCACGGCTACCACTATTTGCTGGTGTTTCTATAATCTAAGTAGATATCCATCAGCTATGGCTAAGCTTCGCGCCGAACATGAAGAGGTCTTTGGTTCGGATCCACGCCAAATGTCCAAGATTCTCCTGGAGTCGCCTCAAAAGATCAACGACTTACCATACACATTGGCTGTTATCAAAGAAACGCTGAGAACGTATGCTATTGTACACTCGTTCCGCGAGGGCGATCCATCTATAGAGCTTGTTGCTTCTCGAGGTCGTCTCAACACTGAGGGTCTCCTGATCATTGTTGCTGGCGCGGCGCTACATCTGAATCCACACATCTGGTACAAAGCGAGAGACTTTATTCCGGAACGTTGGCTTGTCTCCAAGGGTGATCCTCTCTACCCGCCTCCTCACGCGTGGCGCCCGTTTGAACATGGGCCCTTGAACTGTATTGGACAGGAGCTGGCACTTATTGAACTCAAGTTAGTGCTAGTCAGCCTTGTGCGCGAGGTCGAGATACTGCCGGCCTGGGAAAAGTGGGATCAACTACGGTAGGGGTCCCTATACCAGTGATGTGAACTCAAGGATCAGACTAATCGTAGCAGTGGATACACCGAAAAGGATAAGATGACTGTGGACGGCCAGAGAGCCTATCCAACCAACCGTGGAGGGGGTCTTTTGAAACCGAAGGAGGGAATGCCTGTTCATGTGAGATCACTTTGAGATGCCAATCTGAACCATCTGCACTCTTCCTCGCTGTATCGAAGCTTTATGTTAATAATATTGAGCAAGGCCCAAGCCGACGGGCAATTCCGGGTATGCAGAAATATATTTTTGCTAGGCGTCTTGTACTTGACCTGCAGCAAGTTGTTAGGGCAGTTCTGAATATTAGTTCCAACATTGGCGAGGCATGTCAAATTGAATAGAAATATAATTCCCGATTCGCACCCTCTCCGTCATTTGGCAGCACCGTAGACTGTGGTTTGACCATTACGATTGGGTCTTGTATCAATTCTCTTCTACCTATAAACGCCTATGAAACGCATGACTTCCCAGTCCTGGCTTGGTGGCAATGGGTGCTGTCCAGGCTTCAAGAGCTGCGCACGGGGCATTAGGACTGGATCATGTCTGGCCGTCCCTGGGTGAACATTCAATCCATCTAAAGATCCATCCGCGAAACCGTTTTTAGAAGCCTCGACAGCGGAATAGACATCGAATGGCTCTTGGTTCTCCGGAGTATATGTGCGACGTCTCTCGATCGTTTCGAGAATCATATCCGTACTAGGCTCCAAGTCCGGAACATTTCTCCTCTTAACGGCTCGGCTGAACCACCGTTTGTGCCATGGCCCCTGAGATGGCCTGCCATCGTCATCAGTAGCGGCCTCAACGTCCGCACTTCGTCTCTGCTCCATGACATGATCTCCCTTGCCCCGGAAAGCCCGCCGTATAATGCGAGTAAGGTAGTGTACGGATGGTGCCACTTTGTGGACGGCCATCATCATCCAGCGGTCGGGTATGCAACGGATAGCAGCACCAACTGGTATGACTAGAAGACCGAATAAAACAGACCACCCCCATTGTGCGCCGGTAAGAGGTTGAGTCCCGAATACATTATCTCCTTTGAATATTATCAAAATCTGTCCCAGAAAAGTGAGCGCCTGGATACCAAGGAACCAAGGATTCTCAAAAATTCCGTCGAGGATGTTAAGGCCATTATCTACACGAAGGCAACTGGATATCGACGTTAGGGCACAATGTTCAACGCAAAATGGTCCGACGGAAGGGACTTACTTGATCTGATTAAAAAGTTGTATGAACATATAGGTGTTGAAAACGACGGTTTGTGCCTGGTCGTCCGATGCCTCGCTCCAGAGTTTTCCCCCGGCATACTGCATGGTGAAAATTACGGCAAGCTGATAAATAGATTGTCCTAGAATCATCTTCCACATCGTAAGACTGATCAGAGACGCACTTCGTGGTTCTGGCTTTCTTCGCATTAGATATGGACGTGGATAATCGGTTGATAGCGCTAGGCCCGCAAGAATATCAAGAATAAGGTTCAACCATAGAAGCTGAACAACATTGAACACTGATGAGTCCACGTCACCAACCAGTGTAGAGATGACTGTAATGATGACGGCCGTTATGTTGAGTGTGAATTGAAACTGTTCAAACGAGATGAGGATTAGCCTGGTTTTTTTCCTTGCATGGTTCATGGGACCAATTACCTGGCAATATTTCTTTGTGGCATCACTTATTCCTCTTCCCCAAGCAACGGCCTTCACAATCGATGCGAAATTGTCATCAAGTAACACAATGGAGCTCGCGTCTTTCGCAACCTGCGTGCCAGACTTGCCCATAGAAAACCCAACGTCGGCAGCTTTCAGAGCAAAAGCGTCATTGGTACCATCTCCTGTTACAGCGACTGTCTCTCCAAGTCTCTTCAAAGCCATGACGAGTTGAGCCTTGTCATCTGCAGTTGACCTTGCCAGAACTTGTAACCTTGGAATGACAGCATCCATCTGCTTCGGAGTAAGACGTCTGAAGGTGGGGCCATCCATAGCGATACCACCAGCAGTAAAGATGCCTGATTCCAACGCAATGGCTTCGGCTGTAGCGAGGTTGTCACCAGTTACCATCCGCACAAATACGCCCGCGTCTTGACACTTGCGGATTGACTCGACGACTTCAGGTCGTAATGGGTCGCGCAAAGCAAACAGAGCAACAAAGGTCATCTGCTCGCGGAATGCTTCGTCGAAATATCCATGGAGATCGATAGGATCTCCCTCAGAATTTGTCGACTCAACAGGAGGCCAAGACTCCAAATCGCGGTAGGCCATAGCGATGGTACGATAACGTTTGCACGCATAGTCATACACTGCATCTTCCAGCTCAGCCCTCTTCTCCTCCCTCAAAACTGTCGATATGAGCTCCTCCCTAGGATTCCAATTTCTCATCGTGCTCTCCAGCGTTGTGCTGCAGTTCGAGATGATAATTTCAGGTGCGCCCTTCACGAGTAGGCGAAATTTATCACCCCATCTAATGACTACACCCATGTACTTGCGGTCCGTATCAAATGGAAATAGTTCCACAATCTCAGCGTTGGCTCTCTGTTGAGCGAGGGATGCCATGCCGAGATGGTCCCGGGCGAACCTCAGCAACGCAATCTCGGTACTGGATCCGCCAAAATTCCCCGACCCAGAGCCGCCTTGCTCAAACGCAGTCGAGTTCAACGCTATGCTTGACTTCAAGATACCCCTAACATCTATAGCGAGCTGGGCAGCGAGTTCACTGGCAGAGAGCAGGTTGCTTCTAGCAGGGTTTGCGACATCAGGTGGCGTCTGACTATTAGGCCCAAATTTCTCATCGCAGCCGATCACTCCAGACATGACGTTCATATCGTTAGTCGTTAACGTCCCTGTCTTATCAGTACATATGCAAGTCGCATTTCCCATGACCTCGCAGGAGCGTAACAACCGAACAAGATTATTGTCCCTAAGCATTCGCGTTGTTGCAAAGGCAAGAGCGACGGAAACAGCCAATGACAGACCCTCAGGAACTCCAATGACGATCACTGTCGCAGCGATCATAAAGACGTCGAGGAATGACTCGCCCTTATCGCGCGCCGTCTTTGGGCCGTTGGGACTTTTGAGCTGAACCAACCATCTAATAAAGAGTATAAGGAAGTAAACAGCTCCAATGATAGAGCTGACGATGATAATTCGCTTTGCAAGGCGGCCTAACCTCTGCTGGAGCGGGGTCTGCTGGGTCCGATTGTGAAGAGCCATCGCAATACGTCCGCTTGTCAAGTTCATGCCGACAGCGGTGACAACGTAGGTTCCAATGCCCTGTGATACGATAGCGCCACTGAAAACGAAAGGGCTTGCCGTAGAGTCGCCGCCATATTGGTCAGCAGGAATTTTGCGTACAAGCTCCGATTCACCAGACAGATGCGACTCGTCGCAGAGTATCTGCGATGCTTCCACCAGGATGCCATCTGCAGGTAAGATATCTCCGGTATCAATGAGGAGAACGTCACCAACGACAATGTCGTAAATCGATATATGGCAGCTCTTTCCGGAACGGATAGCTGTAACCCATCTCTCCTCCGTCCGTTGCTGAAGCCTCTCAAATTTGTAGTTCTTTTGGTAGTCATTAGCTGCCGTTGCTGTGACAGTAATGACAATGGCACCGATGATGGCAGCACTCTGAGCCCAGCCAGTATTAGATCCCATGCTGTTTCCCAGAACGACTTCTTGAGAAATGCCGAGCACGAGCGATATTGTTGCAGAAACCGCCAATAGAAACATGAGCTTATCGTTCAAAGCAACCCACATCAGGCCCCATATTGACGTCCGTTTGGGTTTGGGTAGACGATTGTCACCAAATATTCGTCGCCTTTCGGCCAGGTTGCTCGATACGCTATCTCGGTGGCCATTGCGAAGAATCTCGGCGGCGGTTGACGGCCGACTCGGGTGCGACGAACGATGTGATGAGC